TCCCACCCTCCCCCCCCCCCCCCCCCCGGAGGGATACCGTAGCTCAAGGCTTTGCTTCTTTGGGGCGCCCCAGAGAGCCCCTCCCGGCAGCGGGGCACGCTGGGGCCAGGCAGTGCTGTGGCCGGGAAGGGGGAAAGCCAAGCAGGTCCCAGGGCTGCCAGTATCACGGACACGCAGCAGTGGGAACGCCTCGGCCCATTGCATCGTGGGGCGGCAGCGTCTCCCCTTCTGGGTGCCACTCCCGTGGGGGGACTAGGCTGGGCGAAGGGGCCTGGGTGTTGCTCAGTGGGGGTGTTAAATCTGTCACTAGGGTCCCATCCCAGCACCCTGGCCAGGCATGTCCCGCTGTGCCCAGGCACCGGGGCCGTGGCAAGGCCGGAGCTCTGTGCCAGTGGGCTCGGGGTGGCCCTTCCCCTCCGTAAGGCGGTTGGCAGGGCTCTGATTTCTGTCTCTCTCTGAAGGAAGTGACGTCCCAGCCTGTGATGGGGTTTGACCCCCTGCCTCCGCTGGACTCCATCACTTCCTATACGAGACCAGAAAGGTAGCTCTCCCCTCAGACCGGCGCCCGCCCTGCTCAGCCCAGGCACGGCGGGTGGACGCTCCCAGCACGGTCTCAGGGCTCGGGTTAATCTTGGTCCCGCTGAGAACAGCCCTCAGCAATGGGCAGGAGCCAGACTGCCCGGCTTGTCCGGCCACGGTTGTGGGGTGGTGCCTGCCTGGGAGTCACCGCATGAAACAGCCCATCGGGTGCTGCCCAGTGCCCCTCTGCGTCCGCCTGTGACACAGGCAGGGAGCCCCCCCAGACGGGGGCTGGGATGGCGGTGGCGGGTGGTTTTCCGTTAGCGTCGTGCAAGGCGATCTGTCCTGCGTGCCCGTGGAAACCCGCCCGCCCCGAGCAGAGACCCACTAACCCGGGGTGAGTGAATCTCAGCCGGCACGTCCCGTCTGGTGACCCGGCCCGGCCTGGCACCCGGCATTCTAGAGCTGTGCGTTGCTAAGGAACCAAGCGCCATGGTACGTCAGCTGGGCGTCTGTGCAAGGCCCAGCTGGGCGTGTGAGAGTCTCACACACACGTGTCCTGTGTGCCACTGAACGGGCTGGCGGGGGGTTTCTTTTGCAGGACGAATCATCCCTCCAATGAAAGCACTTTATCGCTCTTTTTCCGATCCCTGCTGCCAAATTTCACCTTGCAGGTATGTCCGTGCATGTGCATGCAGCCGCACCGCTAGCCTTCCTCCACAGCCTGTACGCCAGGGCCACGGGGAAACTCGGCTCAGGCTGTGCTCGGCCGCACACAGACGGGGAGGGGTTGGACCTGCCAAAAGCCTTTTCCGCCGGCGTGTCCTGGAACGGCCACACGTACCGTCTTGTGGCAGCGGGATCCATCTGCAGGCAGCGGTTGGGGCTCGCCCCTTTGACGGGGCTGCCTGTGCAGGCGTGTGAGGCTTCCCCTTCCGTGCTGTAGCGTGGCCGCGCGGGGGAGAGGGTGTGCCAGAGACAGGCTGCTGCCGTTCACCTGCCCAGCTAGCGCGGTCACGTGGCCAGGGAGGAAGCGCCGCAGCCGCAGTCCCGTGAGCAGTGTCACTCCCGGCTGAGCTGAGACGCAGGGAGGCCGCACCGCCGCTCACGGTGACATTGTGACTTTAAGGCTGCCCGAATTCCAGGCAGGTGCTTTGGTGTCTGAAGAGAAGCCCAGGGCTGTTGGGTTTATAGCGCTGCCTGCGTTGCTGGCGGATCATGGGAATCGCTGATGGTAGCTAGTGGCGAAACGTAGCTGCACGCTGATGCCAGCGTTTGCAGATCCTTATCGCTTCGTATTAGAAACTGGCGCAGACCGGTCTGGGTGGGAACTATTCATAGGCCAGGCTGGGTGTTGGAGTCCCACCACATCAATTATCCCCTCCGTGGGGGGATGACAACAGCTCCCTTTATGCAGCCGAGCTGGGCTTTCTTTAACCACCGGATCGTTGAGGCATCTGCAGGAATTTTGCACCATGGTTGGTTTGGAACGGTCTGACTGAAAATGGGGTGAGGACAGGCCAGGTTTGCTCCCTTACCGAGAGCAGCCGATCCCTTTCCGACTTCACCACGCTTCCTCCGTGCTCCAGAACCCTGGTAGAGCCAACCTCACCCCATTTGTCTCCTCTTGCTCGGAGGGGGGAAACTGAGGCGCAGAGAGGGGAAACTGTCATTCAGAAATGGAAGCCACGTCTGACTCACGGGCTGGGCTAGCCCACGTGCCCTCCAAAGCCGCTTGGGCGTGCCTCACTCAGTGCACTGATCTCAGACCCCAGGCAGCCTGGGCCCTGAGCACCCGGACGCTTGTGGCTTTAAAGGTCAGGCCGCATCCTGTCCCTTGTGAGCGGCGCCACGCCGGGGCTCTGGGCTCCCCCCGGTCTCACTCCCCCGTGTGCTGCGTTGCAGGGGGAAGCCCGGCGTGACGAGGCTGGAGCTGGACAAGATCTGAACCAGGGTGTGAACAGGCTGATGGCGGCCATGCGGGACATGCTGGCCAATATCCAGTTCCAGGAGCCTCCGCGGGACGAGAACCCCGAGGGTGACGCCGACTGGGACTGAAAGCACCTTCCCCCTCCCCTCACCGTGCGGTGTTATGCCCCTGATTTGTGGGGCAGTGGAATAAAGAGCCCCCCCCCCCAGAGCAGAGCCCCAGGCGTTGTTCCTGCTCTTGGGGCTCTGCTGAGCTTTGGGGTGGCAGAGTTCTCTCTGGAAAGCCCCGGTGTGTCTCCGTAACCTTCAGCCGGCTGGTGCTGGAGTCCTCTGAGTGCTGCTGCAGCAGGGCAGCCGGCGAGTCACAGCCACACCAAGGCTAATGCAGCACTGGCAGGCCAGCTGACCTGCCCCCCACACCCTCCCGGCCTGCATGGGCAAGATCCTCATGGCCCTGGGTTGCTGGAGGGGGGCAGAGCAGTACCTCCCCGAAAGGCCTCGTGGCATTGATGCAGGCTGAGCCACATCCTTCCACCCCCTGGGGCAGCGTGGTGGCTCTAGTGCTGCCGACAGGCAGGCGCAGCGGTGGCCACCCCCCTGGACAGGGTGGGAGGAAGGGGCCCTGTTCATCCTTCAGTGCGTGACTGTAAAGTGGGTCAGGGCAAAGCCCCATGGGATGGAGGGCGGGGAGGCGCCCAGCACAGCCCCGTGAGGGGAGGGATGCAAGCTGCCGAATGAGGCCACCCTGCCCTGGGCGGGGAGGCAGACACGCCTGCCCCGTCCCCTGCTCTGCTTTCATCTCTGTGCTGCTCGGTGCACGGTGCCCCGGCCAGCCGGCTAATCGGACTCATGTGAGCAGCGTCTGGGCTGAGTGGGGCCGAGGGAATTAACCAAGTGAGAGCTGCGGCCTGTTAACTCCTGTCGTGCCAGGATCCATGCAGGCGCTTCACTCCGCCTGGGCCCACAGCACCCC